TATGTACATATACATCCGTATATATATATATATATCAGATATATTGTCTATATATATACCTATATCTGTATCTACATATCTCTTATATCTCCCTGTATATCTAGTATGATATATATATATATATCTGCTCTATAGCACAGAAGCTAAGAAGCGCCCCTTCCCTCTATAGGAAGATAAATGTATCCTTATGCAACTGCTAAGAAGAGGACCTCCTCATTGATCCAGTTCTGTCGCCAACGACCGCCTTGCCCGCTTTCGTCGGCCGAGGCTTATGGCGTGCGATCCCCAGGTGATTCATGGTGATGCATGGTGACATTGTCGCTGGCTAGGTCCCAGCACGCTTAGATGATGCCTCCTGGAGGATCATACGGCGTACCACCCCTTGAGGACCCTGTGCCGAGGCCTGCACTCCCGGGTTGGTCGCCGTCAGCTGGTGCATTGTTCGTCTTGCGCAGCATGAACATGGGCTTTTTGCCCTCCTTGTCAAGCTGCTTGAAGAGGATCAGGGGTTTCTCGTCGAGGGCCAGGCATCGTTCCTGGTCGCCGTAGACAATGTAGAGTGCGTACTGGTCCCATGGTGCGTTGATCTGGTACTTTTTCAGGGCGGCGGGCAGGACCTTGTAGCAGGGATCGTCCATGCTGACGCGGAACGATTTGAAGATCTCGACCGAGGCGTTACTCGTGCTCGGCGTGTCCGGGGCCGGGGTCGGCCCACGCCGCGGTACGGACACGGGCTGCTCGCGGCCCTTGTGGCCGTAGTCGCTTTCGGAAAAGGTGGTGCGGGATGAAGGTGTCGGGGCTTCCGAACGGTAGGAGCGGGAGCCTAGGGTCGTGCCGCCCATGACGGGTGGTGATGTTGGCGAGGGCATGTTGGGCGAGTTGTGGTATATCGGGGATGTGGCGTTGGGGCCGGAGCCGTTCATGGCGGAGAGGTGGGAGGAGGAGAGCAGCGCCCTCTCGACGGCAGGGGACGGGTCTAGCGTCTGCTCGGCTATGGAGCGTTCGTGTTGCGTCTGTAGGGGGGAGGGCGAGGGGTTCTTGGGCGGCAGGGTGCCGAGCATGATCTTCTTGGTCGAGTATTGCCGCATGAGGCCAGCATTGGACTGCGCCGATGATGGCGTCGGCGCTGGTGGTGAAATGGTCGTCTCGTAGCCGTAGGTTGGTGTGGGGTTATTGCTGACATTGGGCAGGGGCTGCGAGGTGTCCTTGGCCATGCGTAGCGCCGGCAGCATGTCCTCGCGTAACCGCCGAAAATCTTCGCTTAGGCGCCGCAGGTCCTGCTCGACCATGCTGACGCGCTCGTCTCGTAGTCGCAGCTGCTCGACAAGGTGCTTGATGTCTTTGAGGGTGGCCGTGGCATATTGGGCCTCGGCGTCGGCGGCTAGCCAAAAGACTCGTCAGCAAAAGGCCATCACTCATCGCCGGGCGAAAGGGCAAGGGGCAGCCAGGACCAAAACATACATAGGGGCACGTAGTGATCGCTCTCCGTGGGCACATCCTGCGCTCTCTTCACATCGTAGACGTTCTTCAGGATAGTCAGGCGGTGTCCGACGCTGGTGATGCCCATGGACTTGAGGTCGTCGTGGAGGAGGGCGACGAGGGCCTCGCCGACGATTTCGTTATCTGTCCCACACGGCGTCAGTACATGCACTGCGAGCTTGCTGGCATTCGTCCTGGTCCTCATGAGACGCACCCAAAAAGTGATCAGCATATTGCGGCATGGCCTAATGGGTGCCGAATAAAGTCCGAGCGCACTCGACGGTCCATTCCGAGATGATGGTTTCGGGCAGACGGTCGGCGCTGCTGCGGTGGCCGTAGGTGGTGGGCGTGTGTTCGTTGGAGGAGGGTAGTTCCGAGTCAATGGGCGATGTCTCGCTGTCGGTGGCTAGGACAGGCGAGCTGGCGGCGAC